TCCAAAGTATGTGAGGTGGGATCTTACTATCTTTGTTTCTAAAGAACAGACTGGTTGCACTACCTTCAAGATAGATATATTCATTCTTATGGCAATCCATGGTATATTCAATACACTCCTAATGCACACCTTCCTGATTTAAAAATATATGTTGTTGTTAAATGCTGTCGAGTCATAGATGACTCACAGCAACCTTATGAATGAAAGACCTGAACAATTATATAACTCTCTTCATTTCTCTAAGTTCATAGAGTTTCCAGAGGAAGCTATTTTGAAAGTGGATCCCACTCCTGCTTCCAAGCCTGTTTTAATCTAGGAGTTCCACCAAACACTGTCCACCATGTGTAATCATTATTGCATTTGACACATCAGTGTCACAGTGTTTAGCATCACAGCAACCACGAGTTACTTTGTACAGCAAATGAACAGACTAGTGTTATACCACTTAGAAGACTGACCTAAACCAAAACCAGGTCTAAGGGCGGCAGATTAAAATCACCCACCTTTGGCTTGGTAGCATAACTTTCTATCCTCTAGGCCAACAGAGCTCTCTCTGTGACTCACAGCAATTCTATGAACAACAGAGGTAACCCTTGCCCCATCCTATGCTATCCCACAATCCGAGACATGCTTGATCCCACTGCTACGGTCACTATACCAATCCATTGTGTTTAGGATCTTCTATTCTTCTCTGATCTTCCACTTCTCACAGCATGATGTCATTTCCCAAGGACTGGAACTTTAGCTGTTGTTTGTTGTTGTTAAGTGCCTTCGTGTACCTTTATTCTGTTCTAACAACTGTTTCTTGGTCTATAATTTCAAAGGAGCACAAAGCTGATTATATCAAGCAATTACTTTGTTGATGTGCTCTTATCAATAAGATAATGGTAAGGAGTTGTGTTCCTAACCCAAAGACAGACTGTTTAAGTCCACCAGTGATTCTACAGGAGAAAGAGGAACAATTTCCTCCTTTGCTATTTTCAGCCTTTGAAAAACCACGGGAGGGTAAGTTGTGAGTCACTTCTGACTCACAACAACAATGGGTAATGATGGTGCACATTTCCTTATGCACATATGGACTGCTTGAATGTCATCTTTTATGAAGTATCTGTTCATATCCTCTGCTCATTTTTAAGTGGAATTATCTTTTTGTTGTGAAAGTGCTGACATTTTCTATGTATTTTAGCTATTATTAGTTCCTTGCTAAATATATCTTTATCAAACATATGTTTGTTTCCAATTTATAGGTTCTCATTTTATTCTTTTGGTAGGCAAGGATGACCAAGCTTCATCTTACATGCCTTGGACATGTAGCGAGGTGAGTCTACATACAGGGATTAGGATTCATGGATATATTCTATTGTACTCTATTTCAAATCCATCTCTGGTAACTTCTATTATCTGTCTGTCTATCTGTCTAATCTATCCATCTATCTATCATCTATCTATCTATATCTTTCTATCATATCATCATTGCTGTTCATTTTGAACCAACTCATGTTTTCATCTTTCTACAGATGATTCAAAGCACCAGGGAGGTGTCACTTCTGGGTTAACACAACTCTGTAAGGACCACACTACCAGAGCTCTCTTCCCCACAGGTAAAAATCCAGGTAGGAGAAGAGTTTATGTAGTTACCTAGAGCATATTTTGCTATGGATCTACTTATTGATTGAAGACATTGACTTCAAGTTGTTGATCACAGTGGAAACATGTTGTGGTCACATAAATTCTGTAGTTCTCCATGATTTGGACTTAACAGAAGATTAAGAATGAAAATAATGAAATATCAGAGAACTCAGGATAAAGCTGAAGAAGTTAGTAGTAGAAACTTTTGAGAAGCATTGTAATAGATCATATTATTGCTTTCAATTCTTTTTTCTATACCCATGCTTGCTACATTTCACATGATGTGGAGTTTACACACCACATTGATAATGGACTTCTATATTTAACACATTGACTAAAAAGTCAATGAAGTGTGCATGAAATGACAATGTGAATTTTGAGCTCAGGCCTTAAAAGGGCCTATTGTTTCCTTTCCTGCCCCCTCCCCTTTCCCCATTCTCTATGAGAAGCACCAGCCCTAGGTAGCCAATAAGATCAGAATGAGACACATGTAGCATAAATTTGAACCTGCCATGCAGCCTACAACAAAGCTCCTCTGTGGTCCGCAAACCTGGTAGCAAGAAAAAGAAATCAGTCTTGTCATCAGATAATAAAATAAATTATTTTGTTACACAGCATTATTGCAGTGAAAAGGGGAACACCAATCAAGCCACTTGCTATCAAGTTTATTCTGGCTTATGTCAGTGTAGACCTGTACTTCATAGTGGTTTCAGTGGCCGTTACCTTTAGGGAGTAGAATGCCAAGCCTTTTCCCCTGAAGTGTCTCAATGTGATTGTGAACTACCAACTCTTTTATTAATGCCCAACTTTTAACTCTGTGTACTCATAGACTCCAACTGCAAAAACCCCCTACCTAACCAATAAAAACATCTGAAAATGTAATGTAATATGTAATTAGATTTTGTATTTCATTTTCTTTCTACCTTGATTTTTTTTTTCTCTTTTAGTTTAATCAGATCAAACACAACCATGCAGGGAGGAAATGAGACATTACCAACAGACTTTATTCTCACAGGACTCTTTCCCAATATGAAGTATGTCACTTTCCTTATCTATACCATCATCCTGATCTACTTTGTTGCTGTCACTGGGAACTTCATTCTGCTTCTCCTGATATGGCTGGATCTGAGGCTCCACACTCCAATGTACTTTCTGCTTAGCCAGCTTTCTCTTGTAGACTTGGCCCTCATCAGTAGCACTGTTCCAAAGATGGCCATCAACTATTTCTCTGGATCAAAGACTATTTCTCGTTTTGCCTGTGGAACTCAGATATTTTTCTTCTTTTCTCTTGGTGGTGCTGAATGCATCCTCTTGACACTAATGGCCTACGATCGTTATGTAGCTGTCTGTAATCCCCTGAGATATGCAGTCATCATGAGCCAGGGAGTCTGTCTACAAATGGCCATGATATCCTGGTGTGGGGGAATTCTTGTTTCCACAGCTCACACTTCCTATACCATGAGCCTACCTATCTGTGGCTCCAGAGAAATCCATCATTTCTATTGTGAGATGCCAGCAATTATGAAGATCTCATGCAAAGACACTTCCACCTATGAGCTGGTCATTTTTGTGATGGGCATTATTTTTATTATCATCCCCTTTGGACTTATTGTGACTTCCTATACCCTCATTTTCCTCACTGTTCTTCGTATGAACTCTCCTCAAGGCAGAAATAAGGCCTTGGCCACCTGCTCCTCCCATCTTACAGTAGTAAGTCTTTATCTGGGGCCCTGTGTATATATGTATATGACACCAGGCTCTTCCCACACCCCAGAGCAAGAGCAGGCTGTGTCTGTATTTTGCACAGTCCTCACACCAATGCTAAACCCCATCATTTACAGCCTGAGAAACAAAGATGTGGTAGGAGCTCTTCAGAAGATCCTGGGTAAATATCCAATCTCTTAAGATAATGCATAAATATTTAACTTGGGAAACAGCAATAACAGGAGTCAAGAGGCAAAGACTATACAAGATCATTAACAAGCACATTCTCCAGTATAAGATTTGTTCCAACCATATGCCCACCATGTTTGGTGAGGTCAGTCAACAAAATTAATCCAATAAAAAAAATCTTAAAATAACTTTTATCAGTCGGTTTATAGCGAACCGAGGAGCTCTGTTGGGACTGTGGTTAAGGCATTCAGCTTCTAACCAAAAGATTGGTAGTTCTAATCCACCAGTGGCACCAGAGGAGAAATAAGGCATCCTTGGTTTCATAAAGATTTGCAGCTTTAGAAACCCCATAGAGCAATTTAACTCTGCCCTATAAAGTCCCTAAAAGTTAGAATCTACTTGAAAGGTAAGTAGTTTTGTTTAGATTTTAAAGTCAGTTGCTATTGAGATGATTGAATTCAATTGCTATTTTTTCAAGCCAGTTGGTGAGCATAGCCAAGGTTCTAGAAGTTCATAGCCATGTGCCCAAAGTGTGTGAGATGGAGCTTCAAAATCCTAACCTCCAAGGAGAAACTTTGTTTCACCCTCTCCAATACAGACTAATTTGTTTTCTTGATGGTCAATTGCATTTTCAAAACTCCTCTCCAGCACCACAACTCAAAGGCATCAAATCTTCTGTCATCCTTGGTCATTTTCCAGCTCTCTGATGCATATTAAGTAATTGCAAAAACCATGGCCTGCATGAGGCATATCTTAGTGTCTAGACTGACATCTTTGTTTCTCAATACTCTGGAGAGGTCCCTGACAACAGATTTTCCCAATGCAATTAGTCTTTTCTTTCTTGACTGTTGGTGCCAAGAGTGGTGCCGAGCAAGCTGTAATTGTTAACAACCTCAATCTCTTCTCCATCTATCATCATTCTGTCAATTGGCCTAGTTGTGAGAAACTTTGTCTTCTTGATATTCAACTTCAATCCATACTGAAGACTATAGTCCTTGACCTTCTGCAGCAAGCATTTCAGGTCTTCTTCAGTTTCAGCAAGCAGGTGTATCATCATAATGTAGGTAGTTGATGAATCTTCCTCCAATTTTGATGCCACACTCCTCCTCAAAAAGTCCTGCTTCCCAAATTATCTGTTCTGCATACAGATTGAAAAGGTATGGAGACAGGATGCATCCCTGAAACACATCTTTCCTGATTTTGAACCATGCAGTGTTTTCCTGCTCGGTTCTGAGGACTGCTTCCTTGTCCAAGTATATAGGTTTTGCATAAGCACAAACAAGTGTTCTGAGATTCCTATTTTCCTCAAGATTAGCCACAATTTGTTGTGATGCACACAGTCAAATGCCTTTGTATAGTCAATGAAACATAGATAGACATTCTTCTGATATTCTCTGCTTTCTGCCAAGATCCATCTGACATTGACAATAACGTCCCTAGTGCCATGACCTCTTCTACACCCAGCCTGTATTTCTAATAGTTCTCTGGCAATGTACTGTTCAAGTCTTTTCTGGATAATCTTCAGCAAGATTTTGCTAGTGCGTGATATTAGTGATATTGTTTGATAATTTCCACACTCTTGTCAGGTCATCTTTTTTTTTTTAATGAGAATAAATATGGATCTCTTCCAGTCATTGGCCAAGTAGCTGTCCTCCAGATTTGTTGGCACAACTTTGTGAACATATCTTGGGCAGCATCTGTTTATTGAAATACATTGACCCCCAACCCCAAGTCCTTCAGAGCAGCCTGAACTTCTTCCTCTATCACCATTGCCTCTTGATCATATGTTGTTTCTTGAAATTCTTATGTGTTTGCCAATTCTTTTTGGTACAAGGACTCTGTATACAACTTCCATCTTCTTTTAGTACTTCCTGAATCATCCAATATTCAAATTGAAGGCATTGGCAAAAAAATAATATCCTAGGAATCAGTGGGGGTAGCAATTGATATGCTTCAACTAATAGTTGCAACCTTGGACATGTTCACCAGTCTAGTGCCAGAAATCTTGTAAGGCAGCTATCTGGCCAATTGATGGGAGGAGATAGATACATATTTGTTCTGAATCTCAAGAAAGGTGATTCAGCAGAATGTGGATGAGCAATATCATTATTACCGCAAGCAAACTGAAGATCGTTCAAAAATGGCTAGAACAGTATATTGAAAGGGAACTACCAGAAGTTCAAGGTGGTTTTAGAAGAGTCTGTGGCACCAGAGATATCATTGCTGATGAGGGATGGATCCTGTTTGAAAAACAGAGTATACCAGAAGAATGTCTATCTGTGTTTTATTGATATACACAGACATTTAACTGTGTGAACCATAACAAACTAAGTGTAATATTGAGAAGAATGGAAACCCTAGAACACTTAATTATACTTAATCAAAAGCTATACCTAGAAGCTGCTGTCAGAACAGAGCAAGGGAACACTGCATAGCTTAAAATCAAGAAAGTTTTGTATCAGAGCTGTATTTTTTCTCCATACTTATTCAATCTGTATTCTGAGCAAGTCATTACATAAACTGGACTTTATGAAGAACAATGTGCCATCAGGATTGGAGCAAGACTTGTCAACAATCTGCCTTATGTAGATAACACAATTTTACTTGCTGAAAGCAAGGAGGACTTGAGGTACTTGCTACAGAAAATCAAGGACTACAGGCTTTAATATTGATTACATCCCAATATCAAGAAATCCTCACTAATGGGCCAATACACAACATGATGATAGATGGAGAAAAGATTGAAATTGTCAATGATTTCATCTTACTGGGATCCACAATCACCACACTTGGTACAGGCAGTCAAAACATCAAGAGATTCACTGCATCGGGGAAAGTCTGCAGTTAGGAACCTCTCCAAATTACTGAGGAACGATGATGTCAGTTTGAAGACTAAGGTGTGCCTGATTCAAGCAATAGTCTAGTCAACCATCTGCTATGCATCTGAGAACTGGACAATGGGTAAGGATGACAGAAGAAGAATTGATGCCTTTAAGGTGTAGTGTTGGAGAAGAATACTCAATATCCCATGGATTGCCAAAAGAACAATTGCCAAAAGAGATATGTCTGAGTGTAGCCAGAGTGTTTTTAGAGTCAAAGACGACAAAGCTTCAACTCACGTACTTAGGGCATGTTGTTATGAAGGAATATTACTTGGAAAGGGACATCATGCTTGGAAAGGTGGAGGACTGACAAAAGAGAGGAAGACACTCAGCCAGGTGGATTGACACATTGACTGCAGCAATGAGTTGGACTCTGTCAGAGGTGATGAGGATGGCACAGGATAGGACAGGGTTCAGATATGTTGTTCATAGGGCTGCTGTGAGTGGTGTACTGGACTGGCATATAACTACAACAGTAATAAGATTTCAAATGATGCAGTACGCACCTCAAAGACATTCCTCAGAGCAAAGTTGTGACCTGAATAAGGGTGTTGCATTTCACCTTAATCCCCTTAAAACTAATTTCCTGATCATATTAGTTCACAATATGTGAATGACACAACATCATTACATAACTATTAACTCCCTGAGAATCATGGCTCAACCAAGTTGGTATACTTTTTGCAGGGACACAATGAAATCTCTAACACCTTATTACTGGTTTTTCTGGTGTTTAATTGAATATTTGTCTTGTGCTGTATTCATAGCTTTTTTAATATCCTTTTTTGTTTTATTTTTAGTTATTTTCTTGGTAGGAATCATGAGAACATTCCAGAGTTACAACTGTGGATTTAAACCGGAAACTGTCTTCAAGGAAGGTATCCTTTTTCACTTGTTTTAACAATTTAATTGAAATTCATTTTCCCCGCTTCAATCTTGGGAATTTCTCTTCCCAAAACAGCAGTTATTTTCCTGCTTTTCCAGATAATTTGTCTGAAGAGAGATAAGATAAAGGCATCCTTTACATATAACTTCAGGATGAGCCTCCTATCACAGAGAAACTCAACCTCTAGTCTCAGCTATGTACAGTTTCATTTCTCAACTGAGAACTCAAGGGCAGGAGAGGCAGTGAGAAAACACCTTAGGCCTTACAACTGGATTTCAGTGGTTCACTTTTCAACGTGAGGCACGATTTTTCCCTTTTTTTTTTTTTAGAATTTTTACCTTTAAGTTATAAAACTGGCAATAAAGTTTAAAGTCTGTGATTTAGGATTAACCTGAATTCAGTAAAACACAATTCAGAAACAAAAACAACACAAATACGTTTATGATGGGGGGAGGGGCGTAAAGAAAAAAGTGCAACTACGAATGAATGAAAATCCAAAATCTCTGTAAATGTTAATAAAATAAAATAAAACAAAACAAAAAACTGTATTTGCCACAAAGCTTAAAGAAAAACAGTTTAAGATGCAGGGGAAATTTTAAAAGTGGAGTAAAATCTCTCTTGCTAAACACTAAAATAAATTTTAACTTGCTAAAAAAAATGAAGCTTATGATGATACATCTGTTAAGTTCTTTGCTACTAATTAATTATAAGGCTGGTGATTCCAACTCGTGTAGAGGCACCGTGAGACAAAAACTTAAAAGATTACAGCCTAGAAACACTCTCAATCTTTTTAAGTTTTGTTCTGCTATAGAGGATCACTATGACTTTAAATAAACTTGACAGCATCTAAAACCAAGACATTTTAAAATAGTTGGTTGATGCTCTTATTATATTTACTCAAAAAACTGTTAGACTTGGGAATTCCCCTTTACTTGTGATTGTTAGGCGCCACCTAGTGGATCCCAACTCATGGCGACTCCAGACACAAGAGGCCAAACCTCATGTCTTCACTGTGCTGAAAGCTCATAATTGCAGTCACTGTGTCAATCCATCTCACTAAAGGTCTTCCTCTTCTTCGCTGACTCTGTGCTTTTCCAAATACAATGTCCTTCTCCAAAAACTGGTTTCTTTTTATCATAATTTTAAAAACAATTTATTATATACTGATTTGTTTACAAAGTTTGAATTCATTGCTCTTCATACCAGATTGTTCCCATTTTCTTCACCTTCCCATCAAATTGTGC